GGAACAGACATTTTACTAGAAGCAGAAAAAGATTATCTGGATTTTGCACGGATAATCTGCACGCTTTGTCTACCTGACACAATGCCATCATTCAAAGAGCAGAGACCTTCAGACCACAAATAGTGCTGTACAAAGACGAGTGTTTCAGTTGTAAAATCATTTTTTATTGTTACAAATATACATATGAATAAAATCCCTTCAACCTGTAATGTAAGTGGGTAGCTGTGAAATTTGCACCCCCTCCCTCAAAAGCTGAAATGTTTTTACAGATGTTGAACTATTTTTCTCGTAGAATTACACATTGAAAGGAAGCTAATATGCAGACAGAACTGAGGAAGGCCTTTAGAAAACACCAATATTAATAAAATTTCAATTGCCCTCATTCCAGTCAACTATATACATTAATATATGAATGTGGTAGCATACCATGATTATACGTCATCCAAATCCTTCTCTGTTGTGCTTTTTGACGGTACACAAATGTAAGCGTTGGAGCTTTATGTACAGTACGAGAACAGGAAGAAAGAAGCTTCCTATGGGAGAATGTAAAAACCATACCCAAGCATTTAATATATATAATCTATACAAATTATTTTATTAGTGTGCTCTTTTAATATAATTACAATGTGCAATTGCATACCGCAAGAATATATTTATAGGTAAGTCACGTGCAGATCTGACACATTTACATTCAGCAGTACAACACATTACCTGCTGTACAGTGTATTAGTGTAAGACAGTGTCCAGTTAATTTGCTTTGCTTTCTAAATGCCCTAATGCAGGGCACTCTTTGTAGCTGCTTCAGAGAAATTCAAGTAGAATACATGAAAGAATCGCTGGCTTTAGCAAAGGCATGGAAAGGAATGTCTGCATTGTACAGAACAGAAATTAAGGACCGAATCGATGCCAAGTGAGTGTACTGTAAATCACGATTGGAAGAACAGGTTTTCTGCATGGAAATGTACCTGTGCTGAAAGGAGCAGCTGGCTAGAAGGGCTGTTGATTGCTGTACCCTGATTGTTATAAAAAGCTCTTGCACTATGAAGCACATGTACTGATTGCTAAACAAAAATAAAATCTTTATCTGCTTCTTCGCCAGAGTCACTGGACTTGCTTCCCTGATGGCCGTCTTTGCTTAAGGACCTCTGCTTCAGTTCCTGGAACTCATGAGACTGCTGCCCAGGGCTTCTCTTTGCAGCTGTATAAAAGAGAAATAGGTCTTACTAATGATTGTAGAAGAGAGAAGCAGAAAAATAATAAAACCAAAAGTCATTCATGCACACAGGACCTGCTCCTGCTCCCACCGAACTCATTTGCACTAGTGGGAGTAGCACAGGTCCATTAATTCTTCAATCCAGAAAAAGGTGAGAGAGGAGAGAGAGAGAGTTTGAGCCACTGTTGGCTGGCAAGCAGGCAAACTTAAAATATGCAACTCAGTACTTCACTGTGACACGGATAAACGCTGGAGTTAGAAACGGCCTGGAGACTTTCTTCTCATCACACCACTTCAAAACCAGAACAGCTTCCTTTTTTCCAGCTGGGCTGGATCTCAGAGGACGCGCTCCTGACTGCTCAGGTGGATATCCTCGCTGGGCACCCCTCAGACCAGCGGCGCACGTCCCAGGCAGGCCTGTCTCCCTAGCAGGACATATCTATATTCTCCCTTTCGACTCAGCAGCGTTAATGAGGACAGACATTCGCCTTGGCACCCAAGTTACCCGAACTGCTGCTCCCTGCCCCAGCAGCACTGCCAGGTCCTGATGCCCTCCCTGTTCCCTGACGGGGGGGACACCCATGGCTCTGAGCCCCACCTGCATCTCCTCCAGCGGAGACCACGGGCTCTGCACCTTGCTGTGCTCAGCAGTGGAGAGAGCGGGACATACCCCCTTCCCATGATCTAAATGCAAACAGTACCCATGTTGTTCGCCCAGCACTCTAAAACCTCTGTAAGGCCAGGGTTTTCCCCAAACCTATGAGCTTTGAAATAAAGGTTTGTAAAACCTTGTTAAGATTTCTAATCTAATCAGTGGTCTACAATTGCCATGGTAACAAGCGGGTTATTATACACATCAATGGGGGTGACCTTACACAAGGATCGATCACTTTAGAAACCTCATACTTCCAATTAAAATGAACCTTTAAACACACAGTGGCCCTTAAACGTGACTTTGTTGCAAGTCACCTCACTTCATCCCCAGAAAATTAAATGTTACTGTTACGAGACCTTCTTTGCTCCACCGTTTCAGGTAAGGACATCCGGATTTGGTTCGCACCGATC